TTTATTCTTTCAGTCCAAAATAACTACTGTTAATATTTTTCATATGACCTATTACTATGTGCTTGCATATGTATGTATATGTACTGTATACAGTATATACCATAGTATATATGTATACTGTACATACATAGGTTTATGTACATATGCACATAATTATGAGAAAATCTTGTTTGGGGGAGTTTGTACAGCACACATATATATACTAGGGTATATACTATATATAGTACATATGTAAGTGCATATACATACATATGCAAGCACATAATAATAGAATCTCATATGAAAAATATTAACAGTAATTATTTTGGACTGAAAGAATAAATATGATTTAAGTATTTTTGTTAATGCCTTTTTTCTTCAGTGTGAATTTGTCTTTTGCAATTTAAAAAGAAAAATATGATTTATTAAAATCAATCAAAGCAATTATCTTTCATGTTTGAGATCCTCACTTCATTCCACCACGTAACAACTCAGTCATTTTCATCTTCCACTGTCTTCCATTAGCACAATTCAATGACTATTTTCCATATCAGGACACTGTATTAAGATAGGCCAGGCTTTGTTAGGGTAACAAAATAAACGCAGGTCTCAGTGGTTTAACATGACAGAGTTTCATGTCTCACTTAGGTCACCTCGAATTCAAGCCTTTGGTCATATTCTTTATGTGATGACTCTAGCATCCATCTCCTTCCTTCTGGTTGTGTCACTAGCTTACCTACGTGGCCCCAAAGTCCCCCCAAACAAGAGTAAGAAAGAACATGTATGGAGTTTTATGACCAGGGCAGAAAGAGATGTACATACATAGGTTCGTGTACACATGTAACATATAATTATGAGAAAATTTTGTTTGGGGGAGTTTGTACCATAAACAAGTATTTCCAAGTTAAAAAATATTCCTAATAAATGAATTTTGCACTTCTCACTTATTTCCAGACTTCTTTTATGAACACAGGCTTTTAAAAACTACAAATGGAAAATTTTGTGCTATTAGATCTTTATAGTCTATTCTATTCTATGACTTGACAGATTCTTACCAAAAAAAAATCGTATTTTCTTGCTGGCTGGCCTTTAAACTAAGAAATAAAATTTTATTTGAACATCTATCTATAATAGAATTTTAAATATTATATACAATATTTTCTCCTTTGTTCTTTTCACATATTTCTTTATATTGAATATTTTGTATAGCATTTCTACAAATTATTTTATTAGTATCCAATGATTATAAGTGCTAATCTGCTCACCTAGGGTCCTAGATTAGATCGTTAGATAATATTTACTATTATGAATAATTCTGGATGAGCATCCTTGAATTTAAACATTTGTCTATATTTTCGATGGAATTGTCGATGTCTGAATGGATTGTCACACACTGATATGGAAATTTATCACCACCTCTCCTATTTAATGCATAATATATTTATTTTGTTATTTAAACATTAACATTTTCTTAACATTAAACAAACAGCATTCCTCTAAGTAGCCACAATATTTATAAAATTAACAAATAAAAATTCATGTATTTAACAAATTTCCTCATTATCTGCAAAACTACTTAATAAAATCCTTCAAAACATCCAATTAAAACTTTAAATCTAGCCTATCCATTTCTCTTAAATGCATTATACATTATAATTAGAAAAAAAAACACAGAAATGTTATTACATAGAAAGAAGATATAAACTTAATATTCTGGATTTAAGTTTCTTTTGCATCACTGTAATTCTTCTTGCTAACTTTTGCTTTTTATAATTTCCTGGAGTTACCTTCCCAACAATGCAGTAATTCTACCAGACTCAAAAGAAAAGCCGCACTGTCTCAGACTAGCTGCGGTTGCAGAATCTGGAATGCCAACCTGTTGATTCTTGGTTGGTACAGGAACTTGACTGCACGGTCTGAGATGATTCTCATCTGAGCCTCTAGCTCTTAAGCAGCGTCTTGTTGTGTAAGAAAGTCTCTGTTGCTACCTCATAGGACTTGTAAGTCCATTCCTTTCACATAAATGTTAATTTTATGAAGCTTGAGGCTTCCAAAGTGTTGCTGTAACTTCAGTTTCTGTATAACTGCCATCAACTAACTCATTGTTCTGCTCTTGCGTCCTATTGCCCTGGTCAGTTAGTACTATTGCAGACTTACCCATGCCTTACCCGTATCTCACCACCATTTTCATCACTGACTGTGATGTTAGCTGTAAGGTTTTTGCAGATACCATTTATCACATTGATGAGGCTACTTTTGAAAGTTATAGATAGCTGAGAGTTTTTGTTATCAATGACTATTGAATTGTATCAAATATTTTTACTCACTTATTGAAAAGACTACGTGATTTTTTCTTTGTTATCCTGTTGATGTTGTGTATTATAGTGCTCATTTTAAAATGTTATATCAATCTTGCATTCCTAGGATAAAACCAGTATTGTGCTGGAATAAGATTGTACCAACCCCTAAGAGTCAATAGTTCAATTTTCAAGAATTCTTCTAGCTAGTTTTAAATACAGACATTTTTAAATACTAAATTATATAAACTTAAGAAGAGAATGTATTAAAAGCAAAAGAACTAAATACTCAAAACTCATCACTTCCTAATTATTACATTTTACTATCACCTGTGCTCTTGAGGTGATTTTTATCTATTTTATCTGTACGATGGAAATACTATGTAGTGGTATGCCTCCCTACTCCTGCTCAGTGATGTCACATTGATAGCTTAAACGCTCATGCTGGAAGTATTTGCACCATGACAATAAGCAAATATTACAAATCAAAGCTTGATTTATTGTTTTATTGATTATCTATCCTTATAAAAGTGAGGAAGAAAAAGCTAATAATGCTGATTTCAATTAAAAGTGTGTGTGTCTAGCCATTATATTGTGTATAAGACAAAACTGATTAAACTAACTTCCAGTATTTGAAAACCATTAGTTGATTCAGCAAAAAATGGTGCTCATATTATTGATGAATGGGTGAAGTCCTACTACACTTTTGTTATTTCACTTTTGTCTTACTCATTAACGTAAACCAAAATATCAACCAACATTTATATTGAAACTGCACTTATTCATCTGTTGCAACCATAGGTTGTCGACAAATATAGTTCAGTAAAAGTCAATAAAATCAATGAGACTAATTAACTATATGGAATTAACAGTAAAAATAATTTATATTTTATTAAGATTTATAGATCTTATAGTAAATATCCTTTATATCAGTAAATTTATAATGAACTTGTGTGTGCCTATGTATATATAATATCCATATATCCCTTTTTAATTTGGAGAGCCAGTTGTTAAATATTTATCAGCAAGTCACTGGATAAAATGAAGTACATCATGATGTACTTCTGCTCTTTTAATATAACTGGACCTGATTTATTAGTATGTAATTTAAATTTTTTTTCTATATGGGTCCATGGGGGATATTGGGATGTGCTTTTTTCCCTTTTTGTAATGTCCTTGCCTGCTCTGTATTGGGTTTATATTGGCTTAATGAAATGAATTAGAAATATCCTCCCCTTGCCTTTTTTTGTCAACAAGTTTGAATGAGGTTATTATTATTTTTTCTGTAAATGTATATTAGAATTAACCTGTCAAGCCATTTGTAACTAGAGATTTGGGATTTTTTTGGCAGGAAAGTCTTTAATTACAGATTCAATCTCTATAATACATATACATCTACTTAGACTTTATGTATATTCTATGTGCATTCAAAATACATTTCTTATCTCAATTTATACCATAGTTGCTTTTCTGGATAACACAAAGTATATCAAAAATGTGTAAAAATATTCAAGATTATTTTTAGCTAGGATTAGAGATTAGACTCAGGTAACTGTAAACACGTTTTTCATATACACATATAGAGATTAGACTCAGATAACTAAACAGTATTTCATATAATAAAGGGGGAAGACATTTGAAAGCCATGAGTGTTTAGAGAATTACATGATCTGGAGTAAAGTTGTATTTATTCTCCTCAATATTTACACCTTTAAAGTTTTAAAACTTCAATTTTCTTCAATGTATTGTTCTTTCCTCAATATACTATTGAATAAGTACTTCAATACAATTTTTAATAAAAATGGAGACAGTTTAAAAAAAAAGAAATCCATGAGTGTTACAGGACAACTTTTTGTTGTACAACACAGTTCTGTGTTTGCAGGATATCTAGAAACCCTGGTTAATGTCTTGTATTGACTACTCACCATCTTCATAACAAATTTCCATGGGCCTAGCTAAAATTTGAAAGGATAGAGTGATGAGAGTGGGTCTGATGGCATAGAACTAATATTCTTTGACAAAATCTGCCTCTTTGGCTACTCAAACAGACATTTATATTCTTCCCCTCCATGGAACACACCCTCTCCATGCTCAAGAAATGACCCTAAATTCTATCGAGTGACTACACTTAACTCCAGTTCTGAGATTGCTAGTCCTAATGTGCTTCTTGTGGTTCGATGATTTATAAACTAAAATGCAAGTTATCTGCCTCCAGTATACCCACTACAAAACACTGGAGAAAGAACAAAATAATCTTAGTAAAGTTAATCTCTAAATACAGTAAAGTAGTAGATGCAATAGTTTCTGATCCATAACAATCATTAAGTTTGGCTAGGCAGTAAAGCAAAGACTCCAGCCCCTAAAGGTGGAGTTAAACTCCTTCTTTAGCCCACCTAGAAGCCCTGGTTACTTCCTCTGGAAAGTTTTTCTATAGCAAATAGGCTTTAAAGTGGCCCTTATGATCCCACTTCCTGGTGGTCACACCTTTGTATGATCCTCACCCCTTGAGTGTGGGTCAGATCCGCAACTTACTTTGAACCAAAAGAACACGACAAATGTGATGGGATGTCACTCCCATAACTACATTACATTCTATAAGACTCCTTCTTGCTAGCAGACTGATTTGTTCCCTCTATTCTCTCTCTCTCCACTGCAAGGTGTCATAAAATGAATGGCCACTTGGAGAAGCGTACATGTAGAGGAACCATGAGCAGCCTCTAGGAGCTGAGGACTGGCTTCAGCAATAAACTGAAACCATTAGTCTTGCAGCCACAGAGAAATGAATTCTGCCAACAATCTGAAGGAGCTCAGAAGCAGATTCTCGCCAAGTCTCCAGATGAGGATGCAATCCAGCCTACCTGTTCGGACACTTGGAGCCAAGGACCAGCTAGGTCACACCTGGTCACCTGACTCACAGGAACTGTGAGTAATACATGTGTTTTGCTTTTAAGTCAGTAAGTTTGCAGCAGTTTGTTATACAGCATTGAAAACTAATACACTCTTTTACCAGCTGTCCGTGAAACTGATGGCTCTGCCCTAAGAAAGATTCTTGCTTGTTCACAACTGAGGTGTGAACTGGGTGAAGCTGGGGGTCTAGAGGCTGCTCATCTCTTTAAACCTCCTTCCTGCAGCTCTAAGTTTGGTGTCCAGCTACTCTCAGCCAGGCTCTAGGCTTATTTGTTGTTTCTGTTTGGTTTGGTTTTGTTCAGCACTGTAATTCTCTCTAAAGTTCGTTATACTTCTTTTTAATTGGCTTCAAGTCAGTTTCATGTTTGAATAACCACAGCCAAGTGTCTTTCTAGAAATGAAATTTAAATGCAAAGTCTCTTGTCTTTCACTTAATGGACTGTCCTCTCATTCTCCTAGCTGCTCCACATAACTGCTAATGATTTGAGGCTTTCCGAAATAATGGTTTTGCATAGAAAGGCAATACAGTTAATTTCATCTCTGCCAGTAGATTGCTTATAGCCTCTTCAGTTTTTCACTCACTGTTTATAGCAGCTTTAATTTGGGGTGCAAAAACAGTTGGATTTTTTTACCTAACAAGATGTCAAATTACAGAACACTTGGGCAATTTAGACATCAGAGTCAGATACTGCCTCCCCCCAGCAAAATCACACATCCTGAGTGGCCACTCTGACTTGAATTCCTTTCTCTCCATAGCACTTTGCTAAATGCTTCCAGGCAACCAACACGACTTACTGAATCTTTCCTACAACTTCCCCTAATGATATGGCTCCTGGCAGTTCTTGCAAGACCTTCTATTATAGGTGGCAATCAGTGCCCAGAAAAAAAAAAAAAAGGAAGTTCTTTTACCCAGGAAGAAGAAAGAGTGGATGTTGGGGTTGAATACTAGCAATGACTGCCATGGGTATTGTATTCGTTTTCTATTACTACAGAGCACATCATCACCAAACATGGTGGGTTTTGAACAATCAACCATTCTATTTTCCCGTGATTCCATGGGCTCAGTTGGAAAGTTCTTTTTTAAGTCGTTTCTGGCTAATTAATGAGGTCACTTGTGAAGCTGCAGTCAGCTGTGGGTTGTCTGGGGCTGGTTGGTCTAGGGGTCTGAACAGGTATGGTTCATCTTCCAATTCTGTCTTCCAATAGGCTAGCCTTGGCTTCCTCACATGGTGACCTCAAAGAGAGCAAAAATAGAAGCTACAAGACTTCTCAGAGGCTAGACTCAGAACTGGCATATCATTTCCACAACATTCTGTCTGTCAAAGCAAGCCTTAATGCCAGCTCAGATTTAAGGATATGGGGAAACAGACTCTACCTCTTGATGGGAGGAGTTGCAATAAATTTTTAATCATTATAGGTATTAAATCAATACTTATAGGGCAAAGAAAAGAATTAGTAAAGAAAAGAAGGAGAACAAAGAAAAAGAAAGGAGAGAAAGAGGGACAAAAGAGGGGAAAAGGAAGGGGAGAAAAGAATATTTTCAGACATATTGAAAAGTAAAATACAGGGGAAAATACTCAGGATATAATAAAGCCAGTGCCCTAAACACAGAGAAATAACATTTAATAAATTTTAAAATAATAAAGTAATGATCATAACTTTAAAAAATTGTGAAGTTGAATTATATTTACAACACTCAACCTGTTTCACTTATCTAATGTTATACAGAAAATTACCCCAAATTTAGTGTCACAAGCAACCATCTGTTCTTCTCACAGCTTCTGTGGGTCAGGAATTTGTAAAGAGCTTGGGTGAGGAGATTTGCCTGGGGGTCTATCAATAGTGGTCAGATGTCAGTTGGAGCAGCAGTCTTCTCAAAACTTGTCTGAGGCCAGAAGTTCCATTTCCAGGGTGTCTGACTGTCACAGCTGATAGTTGGTACTGGTTTTTGGACCAGGGACCCCATTTCTCCACAAAGAAATTACCTCTCTGTTACCTGTCTGAATATGTTTGGCTAGTGGCATGGTGGCTAGCTTCTGCAAGAGCAGGCAATCCAAAAGGCCAAAGCAAAAGCTGCAATGACTTTTATGATCAAATTTCAGAAGTCACACACTGTCAATTTCACTGCAATTTACTGGTCACATAACAGCAAACCTGATTTAATATGGAGGATTATATGCAAGCATGGAACAAGGAGGCAGACATCACTGGGGGCTGTCTTGGAGACTGGGTACCACAACCAGAAAAGATTTTTTTTAATGTGAAATATAAATTTAATATTTAAACCAACAAAACCTAAAAACAGGAATAAAGCTATGAGATTCAAAATTATTGTCTGTGAGGTAAGGCAATGATAAAAGGTTTATTTCAAGTACAAAATTTACAAATGGAAATTCCAAGTGTCACTGAATCTCTTTCACTGTTTAATTATGTGAAAGAGGACAATGGGAGGGAAAAACACATGTGCATCTATCTCTCAGTCAGTAGGCAAGATCCTTTCACATTTTCATTTGACAGAAGAACTCAGTAAAATATCTCCAAGCAAAAATAACCTCTGTAGAAATTTTGGCTTCATGTGAAATTTCTCTCTTCTGATAGGCCAGTGAGCAAAAATAGCCCACTGTTATGGACTGAATCATTTCTTTCCCAAATTAGTAATATTGAAGCCCTGACCCTAAAGTGTCTGCATTTGAAGATGGAGCCTTTATAGAGGTAATTAGGGTTAAATGAGATCATAAGGGTGGATCCCAAACCCATATGACTGGTGTCCTTATAAGAGAGAGAAATAGCAAGGATGTGCATGTACAGAGGAAGGACCATGTGGAGACACAGTGAGAAGGTGGCCATCTGCAACCCAAGGAGAGTGGCCTCAGCAGAAACCAAACCTACTGGTACCTTGATCTTGGACTTCCAGCCTCCAGAACTATGAAAAAATAAAAATCTGTTGTTTAAGTCACTCGGGTTGTGGTATTTTGCTATGGCAGACCTAGAAAACTAACACACCCACCAACATTTAAAATACATTTGAAGTTAACAAGAGAAAACTGGTTGGTAGCATAAACGTTAAAATTGGGTTCCCTGTTTGGGGGTTTAGATTCCCTGTCTGGTATTTAATCTTTACCTTAGATAAATCTTTGACACTTCCAAACATAGAGATATCTATGGCATAAAAATGTAGTAGCCAGGGACTTGGATTTGTGTTAACTTTAAATATTAATGTTGACAAACTACCATTTCAACCAAATTGGTCATTTATCTGAAAGCTTTGACTATCACTATTATTTTTTTTAATTTTTAAATTTATTTTTTCAACATAGATTCCTAGGTGCATAATTTCTGTTTTGAAGTATGAGTATGTTTTTTGAGTCTCAGCCATTATTGGAAGCAGAGTTGCACTGCCATTTACAGTGCTATAACAAAGGGAGGGCAGTTGGGTAAGAAATGCCTTTTCTGGTTGCCAGTGGAGATGGAAAACTGTCAGGCTGTTCCCTGCGTGTCTGCCCTGCAGCTGGCCTGACCTAAGGCTTCTTGTCTTCCAGACATTCTGTTTTCAGAGAGAGCAACCTTCCTTTGCAAAAGGCCCCAGACTAGCAGAATTGGACCCCTTTGGTATACCTACTTCCTCTCACTTGTATTTACATAAGAAATTTTGTGCATAGAAAGGAAAGAACGGAAAAGATATTCACTGCAAGACAGGAATGAGATTTGTGTTGTCACTGCCTTCTAAGTATCTTAAAACACAACTGAATGGAGAAGGATTATGGAATAGTAAAATGCTGTCTAAAATATTCAGTGAATGAATAGCATGAGACATTTACCATAAAAATGACACTGAACCAAAGAAGCAATTCCTTCACTGAGTGCACCCACAACTAACCTTAATATTGCTGTGAGAAATCTTTAATAAATGGCGCTGTAGTGGGTCAAGAAACTTTTTATTTTTGTTGAGTCTTAAGACCATCCCTTCATAAGGGTAGTAGTCATTTGTCACCAGAGTTTTGTTGTTAACACTTGTAGCAACTTTTTAGAAATAAGTTATTGTAGTTTATCATCTATTTTGAAGTTCTCCTAGGGTTAATTTAGTTTTTAAAGTCTAAACCCTGAATGTGTTGATTTTATTTATTAGGTCCAGAAAAAGATACCATTTTTGTTATAATATTCTAGTTTTTAGAGCCATGTCTGGGTGAGATATGGGTATTCATGGATTAAGTAGACTATTAGCCGAGAGAAAAGAAGCAAAGAAGCAGAGTGGTTTGTAATTTTTTTTGTAAGTGAGATCTAGAGTTTAAAAAGTTAACTTCTGGTCCCAGATGTGTTACTACGAACTACGTGACTAACACATTAGGAAAGTCACTTCACATCTTTGAATGTTCTTCCTTGTCCGTACAAAAACATCCAAGATTGTGGTGTTAATCTACTGTGGAAACATATCAGTGTTTCCCACGTGGGAGGAAGTCTCGGTAACACGCTTGTGGGAGCAGGGAAGTGGGTGCTGTGGAGCAAGTCAGGGGAGGCTCCACCCAGGATCAAGGAGATAGGCCCGCCTGAGCCACCAGCAGTCCTTCTGCATGTGTGACCAAGGAATCTTTACAGAGAAAAACTCCTCTTGTGAGAAGAGAAAATCAGGCTCTTGAGCCAGCATTGCTGATCTCTCAGTTGTCAGTGGAGACCAATTGTGAGACAGTCCTGGCTGCTGCCCCATGAACTTACATTGAAATCTTAGCTGAAGCGGAGACTATGTGTAAAAGCAGAGACATAACCATGAATAATGGTTTCTTAGAAACTCTTGTAAAACATTTAGAGATTAAATGATGCTTGTATGGAACAGGTATGACAATTTACAATTATGGAGAAAGAGACATTTTTCCCTACTTCTGCTTGGAAAATAGCATAGTGTCCAGGCATCAATGGCTCCAGCAAACACAAGAGACCTTCGTGCACCCACAGTTCCGCCCTCCAAAAGCAGCAAAGAAGATGTGACTTGGTTTAATGAGAGAGAACACAGCTTCCCCG